AAACTCATCGAATTAAAGTGGGATAGGTACATGCAGTGTGATGGCAGCCCAGATCCCTGCCTTGAAAATGAGCTCAATACATATATGCATCTTTGGAAAGAAGAGCTGGATGGCCCTACACCTAAGCCTGTCAAGGACGTACTGGATGAATGTGAAAACACTCTGAAGGTGAGTAAGAACAACACTGTAGTCAATTAATAAGTATTATTATATGAAATTAAGAATATTTTAAATCTCCAGTTCTGATTGGTTCTGGCCGTAGCCACCGGTATGGTTGGTCCGGTTTCAAAAAAATATAAGAAAAACTGAAAACCCTCAAAAACCGGACCAATCAGAAATTTGTGGCTACGGCGGCCCTGTGGTTGGAGCACACAGCACATGATTCACTTTCAATTGCATCATCCCTATCTAAAATAACGGTTTTTGTTATTTGTATTTTATAAAAGAAATAAAAAAACTTGCTTGCTGTTTTGTGTGGAGTTATAAAGCACTTGGGGATTGGCAGAATACTTGAGAGGTATTGAGAAGCACTCAGCTACACGTCACGCATCTCCTAACACTTCTCTCATGTTCTGCCAGCCCCCTGCTTTATACATGTAAATACACACACTATGCGCTCACGTTTTCCATTTCTTCACTAATAGATAATTATTAGACAGTAATGTAATGGTTTTGAGTGGCTTTTAGCATCAGGGCTTAAAATAATGGCCAGTCATTGCACAATATCCAGTTACAATTGAAAGTTGTCTGATAAATTCTAGTGCCCTGCTGGTCATCTTGTCCAGTAAAGTTAAGCCAGAAATAAGGCTGAGGACGATTTTATATCTACCTTGATTATTTGAAAATGTTTGTTTGGGGGGGGGGGCAAATAAATATTACATTTGTATATAGGGGGCTACCAAAAAGATATTTATTTATTTATTTATTTATATTATGAATTCCTTAAGGGAATTTTTTTTTTTTTTTTTCCAAAAAGGTAATCTTATCAAAACATTGCAATTAAGTCATATTTCATTAGATTAGTTTATAGTTTTCCATCACACTTGTTTGAATGCTGCAACAACAATAAAAAATTTTTTGTCAGCTGATATCTGAGCTGGAGCATYATATTCAAGATAGTGAATATGAGGGACTTACAGAAGAAGACATACTTAGAAACAAGGAGGTGAGTACTAGTCTAGACTGATGGACCATCACGAGAATTACCGAATAAAGGAGCTTTTTCCTTGCTCCATTCAGTAATAAAGCATGCAGGAAGTGATGTAAGCGTGAAAGAAGTGTAAGGAGAAGCATGAGCCATAGGCGAGTGCTTCTCACACTTCTTGAGTGCTAACAGCACTTCTTAAGTGCTTTATTACTGAATTGGAGCAACAGAAAAAAGGTGTTTATTCATTTTATTATATAGTTATTTCGGTTTTTAATTTATTTACGTAAAAAGAAAGATAGTCACAGTATCGAGCAGAACTTTGCGCTCGCAGATGGCATTAGCACTGTGCTCCGTTCACTAATATAGCACAGCTTTTGATCCATTCGCATGTACGTACTATCCTAACTAGTATATATAAAACGAAATAAATAACATCTCTATCGCAATAAACTTCTTTAAGTCTGAGTGTAATATCTTCCCACTTCAGACTGCATATCATTTCCTAGAGAATCATTTCTTTGCGTAAGGGTTGTGTATGAGTAGACACATTAAATTGTATACAACTCACAGGGACAAATCCAGGAATCTGAGAAAAAGAGACCTGTCTGAAAAATTCTGTGTTAGGAGAATCTCATCCCTGACTTAAACAAAACGCTTACTTGTGTAAAATTAGACAAGGACCAGGGCTTGTTCCCATTGAAATCCAATTATGATTTCCACAAATGCTTGATTTCTTGCATTCTTGGGATATTTTGGATAAAAAAAGTTAGAACAATTATGCATCCCAAAATTTAACTGGAGACCCAAAAAAACAGACCCAAAATCTGCTTATAACTCAAACTAGGAATCTTAATTCTCAAAATGTCCCCTGGTCTGAAATGGAAAAACGTTATCTCTAAGCTAAATAAGGCTATACTCCCATCACAGGATGAGAACTTAAGGCCCAACCTTTGAAAAGATCTAAGGAATTAAATATGAAAGTATGTGATTAAGTTGGGAATAAGCTTTTGGTTAAGATTATGCAAGATCTTATTGAGAAAGAGTATAATTCAGCCAGCCTGCAGATCACTGTAGGTTGGTAATACATGTTTTTTCTTCTTTTTTTACTTTAAAATTACAGTCAATAGCAAAGCTTCAAGAACTTCTTGGTTTTATACTGGACAGGACAACCATGCAGCTACTTCAGGTCAGTAGAAAAAGGTGGTGAAAAACAGGACTTATTAATGGCTAATTGTTTGGGTATTCATGAGAATGTCCCAACATTTAACCCATGTTTAACCCAAATTTTGACAAATTTACCCAACATTTAGCCAACATTAGACCCAAGAATTGACCCAACAATTGACCCAAAATTCAATTACACATCATTTGACCCAACATTTGGCCCAACATTTGACCCAACATTTGACCCAACATTTGATCCAACATTTGATCCAACGTTTGACCCAACATTTGACCCAACGTTTGACACAACAATTGACCCAACATTTGACCCAACAATTGACCCCACATTTGACCCAACATTTGACCAATTGACCCAACATTTGACCCAACATTTGGCCCAACATTTGACCCAACATTTGACCCAACATTTGACCCAACAATTGACCCAACAATTGACCCAACAATTGACCCAACAATTGACCCAACAATTGGCCCAACAATTGGCCCAACAATTGGCCCAACATTTGACCCAACAATTGACCCAACAATTGACCCCACATTTGATCCAACATTCGACCCAACATTTGACCCAACATTTGACCCAACATTTGACCCAACATTTGACCCCACATTTGACCCAACATTTGACCCAACATTTGGCCCAACATTTGATCCAACATTTGACCCAACATTTGGCCCAACATTTGACTAAACGTTTGACCCAACAATTGACCCAACAATTGGCCCAACATTTGACCCAACATTTGACCCAACATTTGACCCAACATTTGACACAACAATTGATTCCACATTTGACCCAACATTTGACCATTTGACCCAACAATTGACCCAACAACTGACCCAACATTTGACCCAACATTGGTCCCATTAATTGACCCAACAATTGACCCAACAATTTATTAGGCAACATTTGAACCAATATTTGAAATTTGAAAAGGAAATCAGAAAGTACTATACAATATCCATAGAGACGATAGGAGACACTGCCATATCTTATAATCAACAGAACAAGTATCAACTCCACACTATTTATTCAGTATAACAAAAAAAACGTGAAGACCCGGGACTATTGAATTGGACTCGTATACTGTAGTACCTTGAACTATCCTTTATAAGGGAATAAGAAGAAATAACTAGCTAAAAACTAGTGTGAGCTGCGTCGGTGTTTCTAATGAAACAGTAATTATAAAAGGGTAAATTATACACCGTGAAAAGATGAAAAAACTTACTGACTAGTCCTTCGTTGGAGTAAAGGACTCCAGTTTTTTCATCTTTTCACGGTGTAGAAATTACCCTTTTATCATTACTGTTTTATGAGGAAATGCTCACGTTAAATTTCTCTATTTTAGACTAAAGTTGTGTTACCTTATTAAGTTAATGATGTGTTGATATCCACAGAATGCTTCTGACAATGTTGATCCAGAATCCCAGAATCTTGAGTTCATAACAACTACTACGCATTTAACCTTGTGTCTGTGGGGTAACATCGCAAAGAACCCAAGGTCAGCAATACTAATGATTAAATGAGATTAAATTTTTCAGCTGATTGCACCGCTGGAGCGGTGATTATGAAGTTTTCCAAATTTTTCCGGTTTTTTATCCTGAATCTCGACTTTTCTGATATTCAAGTCTAAAATTACATATACAAAAACAATTATTCCCCTCAGGCTAAATGATTATTTAACGATTATTCGCCGAAGGCGAAGTGAATATCAGGGAATATTTATTGAAACGCGAGTATAAATACACAGGTGATTATTTCAACAACAAAAAGAAAAGAAAAAAGAAGAAGATAGGAGACATTTTTTCCCGGTAACGGCAACAAAGCGGCTGGCCGCCATTTTGGATTATCGCTGGAGGTGATTATCGTGTGATAGTGTGAGTTTCTCGACCAATCAGCGCGCGAGATTTTCAATAATCGTCTGTGTATTTTTACTAAGGTTAAATATTCCACCGATATGTAATCACTTCGCCTTCGGCGGTATTGTTAAATTATTGTCTATTACGATTATCTAATAACGTGATGTTTTTTCCAGGCTCAAGTCAGTGACCTTTGATCAACAAGGTTTTACTATAGAGATCCCTAAGTCTTTAGCCGTTGGTGATGTGTCTATACGACTTCTGCTGACCGCCTATGACCACCTTAGTCCTTTGGCCAAATCATTTCATCCCAAACAAAAGAAACCTGAAGTGGTCGTTGAAGTTTCTCAACCAACAGAAGAAGAAAAGAAAGAGGTATTTCATAGGGCGTTTACATGACGGCGTCAATACTCCCCTTCACGGTTCCCTGCGCCATCTTGAAAGGTAGCCGTGCCTTTGCATCGAAGCGAGACGAACGGTGAGCTTGCAAAGTTAGAGACCTTTTTTAACACCTTGCTTCGATGCAAAGGCACGGCTACCTTTCAAGATGGCGCAGGGAACCTGAAGAGGACTATTGACTCCCTCTACCATAATACTTCGCGAATTTTCTCTCTTATTTAAATTCGTATTTCCTCATGAGAGTAGTAAGACAATTGGTGCTAATTAACTGAATAAAAGAAAGTGTGCAAGGGAGTCTGGTAGTAGAGGTTAATGGCGTCATCATGCAAACGTCATATTCGGTCTATCTGCTGTCTTATCAATAGGCCGTCTGCAGCTCAGTAATCACGTGCTAATGAATTCGCTGAGAGAAATGAATGAACATTTTGATTCCTATGGGTGAAATATACTGGAGAGCAAACAAACTTTCTACAACCTGTTTCGAGAGATTGCAATAAAACTGCATTTCGTAACACACTGGTTACACATCGTTTCATTCAGTTCTTTACAAGCAGCTAAAAATGTTCCCCAATTTAGAATAAAATAAAAAATATTGCTCACCAGTTCAGACACGTGAACGTTAATTGCAAAGGGCCTATTGGGTTGCAAAACCTGTTAGGCAGTAAGCCGTCCACCCAAGAGTTGTAAACGTATTAGATTTGAGTCTCTCTCCATCATTATGGGTTTCATTAAGTCAGAAAGCAAATTATCATTACTGTTGTTCGTTGTGTGATAAGGAAGGAGAGGAAGGAGCCAAAGAAGAAGACGAACCAAGAGATACGACTACACCAAAGTCTGCATCGGTCATCAGCCGTGCAAGCAAGACGAGCAGGAGAAAGGTTAGTTACTAGATAGAAACATGGCGGTGGTAACCAGTGCAGCTTTACCGAATTAAACCACAGGGACAACGGGACACTTTAAAAACTGGTTGCTACGTACTGCTCTTCCCAGAATACGCCAAAATATGATCCAGTCTAAGGCGGGGCTCGAATCCGGATCACAGCAGTGAGAAGCGAGCGGTTCAAGATGTCCGTCGCATCGTCAAAAGTCCACTCTCGTAGTTTATCGTTTCATATTGTTTTTCATGTCTTGAATTCATTTCTGTTTAGAGTGCAGCCCGTACTGGTAGCAGCAAGAGTACCAGGAGCCGTAGAGCAAGTGCAAAGAGCGTTAAGAGTCAAGTCAGTGAACAGAACAGCCAAAAAGAAACTATAAAAGAGGCTGAAACAGAAGCAGGTAGATTGAACCTAGAGATATCACTTTTCTTCTACCTTTGCCTATCGACTCTAATCTTTCTTGTCATGCTTTTTATTATGTCTGTTAAAGTTTCCTTCACTCCTAGCTCAATATTTTCAGCATTGATCCTACATAAGGTGAGCAGTTAAATGGCATTTTGAAATATTTTTATATGGGTTGATTGATTCGTCTTGGAGATGCCAAAGTTTATTCTTCATTCTTCAATGAGTGTTACGTCATAAAAAGCATTATTAAATATACAACCATTTTCTGGGGTAGTAAAATATCCTGTATAAAACATCATTGTCTTACTCAGGGTTTACAGGTGCATCTCGTTTTGACAGCCCATCAAAAACTAGCCAATCATCGCGCAGGAAGAAATCTAATCGGGCCATCGAAAACAACATGGCGACCGAAGTCAGAAAAAGTAACTCTGAATCTTTGCTTCCCTAGCTACGTTATGGACTAGCAATGCATTTAAAATTCTACCTATTCTTATAACGAATACCTATTGGTCAATGTTTACGTTGTGGTTTCAATACTTTCATGAAATTATCGTAAAATGCATATGATAGCCCTTTGTTCGCCGATAAACGACTGAAACTAGGACCGCCTGATCAACTACGACAATCCTTTGCGCGCGTTCCCCGAGATCACCTGGTAACATAAAGGTTATTGCAAATAATATTTTGTTTTCTCATAGTGATCAGTGTTTTAATTTACAAATGATGACAAATAAACTGAAATTTCTTCTACATGCATGACATCACACTCATTAGCATATCGGGAGTATAAACCTTGATAT